TGGTTTCCAATTTTTTTCTGTTTCTCCGATGTAGAATTCTTTGCAGTTATTGCATGTTATTTTTGTAAATGATGTTGGTATTGCTTGATTCTAAATAATTTTTTAGTACCGACATATCTCTTCTAAGCCGTGCAACAGTATCCTATCATGTGACCTCTTTGTTCCATATTGTATATATATAAATATATATGTGTGTGTGTCAGTGTAAACTACTTGCATCTGATGATGACAAAACCTTGTTGAAACGTTGTACATTTACTGTTATGTTAAACTCATATTAAAGTTTTTCTTCATTACCCATTCATAAGCCATCTCCATACATTATTAATCTTAAGAAAATACTAGCATGTGAGGGTGAAACTTTTATGTAGTACATACCTGCAGCATGCAAGGTACGGGACTTGAATCATGAAAAATAGAGTGAAGCATGGAATATAGTTTGTGCCAGAATAATGAAGAAAAAGGTAAAGTTTTCCCAAAATCTACTCCCAAGATTATGTTATCTCATATCTGAATGCCAGGGTATCCTTCTCAATGCATTTAGTACAGAATCAGTTGTATTCTAAGTTCAGACAGTAAACTTCAGTGTACTGACTTCTTATCACGAGGTCATTATTGTAAACTATTTGTAGAAAAGGACCGACACTGTAATAGGCAACAAACGTTACAGTGATATTTACAAGTACATATATGTCATAAAAAAACTGTAGTAGAATGTTATTTTTTTAAACTTTATAATGAATGCACAAGGCATACAAATGTTTGATAATTTGCAGTAAAACCACTTAACTTAGAACATTGGACATTGCATTGATTTAGTTTGTTTCTTTTTCTTCAGTTTATACATATGAAACAAACTCTAGAAAATGTACCTGTTACTCATACTTGGAAATAGATAAAGAAAAACACAAAAAAACATTTAAGAGAAAAGTATTAAAACCTAAAGGATTTTCCGGTTGAAAGAAATATATGTATGATAAATTTGAACACTAAAAGATAGGGAAAGGAATTGAAGAGTGAAGAAGCAAAGACATCAACTAACAACTAAAGCTGACACCAGATCAGGTCTTTAGTCAATGCTCATTCTACTTATACATAAAAGTTTCAGACAGACTTAATTAACAGTCCATAAACAATGAAACTGATGCTCAGAAATTTTATGTAAGTATCTGTAGCAGTCTAAACTAATATTGTAATCAAATCCTTATAACAAGACAGATGATTATCAGGTCATCATTAGAAATATAAAACTTAACCAGCTGTACCCAGACAATGCCATAAAGATTTTTGTACCATGACCTACTCTTAAGTAAGACCCAAATTGTAGAGATAGTTAACTATATACGTATAAACAAAGGTATTTTATATATAATATTTATTCATTTGCTTTTTTAAAAATTTGAGGTTTTAAAAGTTAGATAGATTTTGCAGGAAATACATTTCTGTTCAATTTACAGCTATTATGAGAACATTTTCCTTGCTTCAAGAGGCTGTTGTCCCATATCTATCAACACTTCTTCCCAAGCTGACAACAAAGCTATTACAAGTTAGCAAGGTAAGATAGTACTAGTTTTATCTTTCATAACACTATTTGCTGCAGTGTCAGGCCTTTCATGTCCCCTAGTGGGACAGCAGTAAGTCTACAGACTTTCAGTGCTAAAATCTGGGGTTCGATTCCCTATGGAGAACACAGCAGACAGTCCAATGTGGCTTTGCTCTTAAAAATAACAGTCTTTTCACAATGAGAAATTAGATTTTTTGTATGAGTTGTATTATTATTTATGTATTAGTTCTCTGTACATTTCCTGTGGTTCATTTTATTTGTAGAATAATGATTTGTTTATTGCATACTCCCAGTTACCCAAAAAAAATTAATTGGAAAAAAATGGTATCTCTCAAAGTAATATATGCATTTGATACTATTTGATGAAGACTGTAAACTTCTAAGAAAAATTTTATTTATTGTATTTTCTTAAATAGATACAAGTTTTGTCCATGATTTTTCCCAAGTTTTGAGGATACTGCTATTAATTGTTCTAATAGGAAGGATCTAGAGTCTTGCCATAAAACTGTCTTGATCCATGAAAATATTGTTTCAATGATTTATTAGCTCAACTTTCTCGTATACAATTTCCTTTTAATAAACCTAGAAACTACAATCAAGGATTCTTATTTAAAAACGTTTTTAACAAATATGTTCATTTGTCTGAAAAATCTGACGAGTGTATACATCTTCAACATTTCATTCATTATTTAAAACCAGTTGAAGCTTTAAGTACTTTTTGTAAATATATCTTTAATATTATTTTTGATGTATTTATTAATCAAAAAAATATTGGTTCTTGTTTTACTAGAGAGGATTTGCTGAATTAGCCAATAAATTGAAGAATAGTTACAAATAATAGTGGGTACATTCCTGATTGTGACTTGAAAATTGTTGATACATCATTATTAATAGTTAATTACTTAGTACATAAACTTCTCCCTTTTGTAATTTGTTTCTTTCTAAATTTATATAGAACCCAAGCAAGCCACATTTTAACCACTATTTATTTGAGACTTTAAGTTTGTCCATTCGAATTGTTTGCAAATCCACTACTAGGGCTGTTTCCACGTTTGAGGAAGCCCTTTTCCCAGTTTTTCAGGAAATTTTGCAGCAGGATGTTCAAGGTAATGATATTTTATTCATAGGTAAAGAGAAAATAAAAATTGGTGTTAAAATTGTAATTTGATGCAATTCAGTATTCATGTTTTTTTCTTGATTTCGCTGTACCCTAAACTGTACAGAGTTGTATAAATTTAAAATATTATTTTCAGGGAATGTTGTTAAATAAAACATTTTTAGACATTAGGCTTTGTCAATAATACATAACAAGTGTGGTTTATAAATGTTTCCTTCTTAGCCAGAAGGTTATCTGTACTGAACATAATCTTTAAGTATTTAATATGAACCTTTGTATCATCTAAAGCATTATTAGTGTTTATTTTATTGAATAGTCATAATAAAATTTTAATTTAATGGATGAAAAGTAGTTGGATAAACATTCCAATTGTTAATGGGTACAAGAAAATATTGGCGTAACCAATCAAATTCTATTTGTCTGTCTTTAGCTTTTTTCTTTTTTTTAAGCAATCTTGTATTTTTTAATAATTAAGTTAATCTAGCTGTGAAGTAGGTGAAACCAAAAACAGATTAATTTGTTACCTATGCAATTATCACAGGAAGTACTGCAGTAGTTAATATTGGCAAAATTTACATAAACAGATTTGTTCATGTCAAAGAATTAAGTGGTTCTAAATGACACAGATTGATGTAACACTGATGTAAACATCTCAGATGTGAGACTGGGCTGGGTGTTAGCATCAACATTTAGTGTAGAACTAAAGGTTGTGTAAAATAACACAGTTTAATGTCATTACCTCCAAATAATATATGTAGAAAAGAATAATTACTGTGAAATGTGTAACTGAGGTTTTTTCTTCATTCTAGAGTTTATTCCTTATGTTTTTCAAATTCTGTCTGTACTGCTGGAGTTCCACAACACATCAGTCCCAGAAACATATATGTCACTTTTCCCATGTCTCCTTTCTCCTGTATTGTGGGAGCGACCTGGAAACATTCATCCATTAGTTAGACTTATACAAGCTTACATTGAAAAGGGAGCTCAGCAGGTGGTATCCACAAACAAACTGGTAAGTAATATCTAGAATGTTTTTGTTTGTATTATATACTCATATATGAACAAAGTAGTTCAGTATGTGATGAAAACACATCTAGTATGTATTGTTACTATTGTAAGAACTTATTTCAAGCAATAATCTTATCCATATTGCAACAAAACATTTCCATTTATCCTTATTAATATTCGTGTTTTTCAGTCTGGATTACTAGGTGTCTTTCAAAAATTGATTGCATCGAAGTCAAATGACCATGAAGGTTTCTACATTATGCAAAGTTTGATCCAGTATTTGAATCCGTAAGTTTTCATTTACTGTGTTCTTGTGGATATTAAAAATTCATAGAAGCATGAAAATAGTTTATGATATGTATATATTATTCATTCATAAGGAATTGAAAATTCTGAAGAAGCAAAGGACTATTCTCTATATGATCTTAATAACATAATTCCTATTGGACTTTACTCAACCTAAAAAATTCTTATTGTTTCAGTCTGACATCAAGAAACCACAGCCAAGGAATAGTTTACAATATTACTTTTTAGTTTCTTGATTAGTTTGTTTTCAAGTAAAGGGGAATTCTGTTGTGTTTGACTGGTTTTTAAATATAAAGAAATTTTAATTATTGAATTTAACAATAGCATAATAATAAAAATAAAATGTATGATGTTGAGGTCTTACTAATATTTCTGCCACAGCTAACAAAACCATTATATGTATCTGTATTACATAGTTATGTTTAATGAACTTGAAAAAGAAATTCTGTTAACAATATAAAGAAATTAAATTTATCAACAAGAAAAGGAGAAGAAGAAAAATATAGCTGTAGCTTAACCCTTTCACCGTCAGTCCCCAATCATTGTCCTTTCTCCATCAGAAAGCATCATAAATTAACAGCAGATTTCTGTGTATTATGCATTATGATATACAAGACACACATTGCATGTCTTGATGTTATTGCATTAGTAACTTAAATATAATTTTGGTAAAAACACAGAGAAAATACAACATTCAGCTGGTATTTCTGTGCATGAGTGGTGTGGGTGCCTCGCGTCGTCTACTGAGGATAGAGAATCTGCTGTCAATGGCACTTAATCTTCTGTCAACTATAGTCACTTTCTGTGGTGAAAAGGTTAAGTAAAGGCCAAAGCATATACGTTAGTATTGAAGTGGGAAAGAACATTAACTTTCTCTGTATTTGTAACTTAATGTAGTGAGCATTTGGCGATGTTTCAGTAATTGCCCATCAGCATCATATTCGAAAGCTTACTACAATGAAAATTTTAAACATAGAAAATCTGTGCAAGTTTTTATTCATCTATGCATTGAACCTTCAGTAACACATTTACTGACAGTTTAATAATTGTTGAAAAACAAATATTTTTGTAGAAAGGATTAAAACTTAACACTAGTACATTATAGTAAGGGACGTTAAGAATTCTCAAATGTAGCATTATAGTTCCTAGTTTCCAAAAAAATATCATAACCCGAGCATATTCAATTGGTGGATCTTTCTTTCTTTGCCCCTGAAGAAGGGTCCACCTTTCAATAATGCTCAGGTCATAGGGTATCACATTCACATCTTTGTGTTAAATTGATTTCTTGAATCTACATGTTTTTCTAACATCATGAATTTCCTATTTTGTGTGTATTTTGAAAAATATTTTGTTGTTAAGAATTCTCAAATGTAGCATTATAGTTCCTAGTTTCCAAAAATATCATAACCCGAGCATATTCAATTGGTGGATCTTTCTTTCTTTGCCCCTGAAGAAGGGTCCACCTTTCAATAATGCTCAGGTCATAGGGTATCACATTCACATCTTTGTGTTAAATTTTGAAACTATTGCTGTGTCCTTTGTTTTTAAAAGTTTAAAATCTCCTTCTAATCCAATATTTTTTTTTTTCAGAGAAGCTCTGGAACAGTATATAAAACAGGTGTTTATTCTGCTTTTCCAAAGGTTACAGAATTCTAAAACAACAAAATATATCAAAGGTAAGAAATGGCAATAGAACAATAAAATATTTGTAAATGTAAGTTTTTAGCTAGTTAGTTCACAGAAGGTTTCCTGGAGTTGTTATAAGAAATTATAAAGAATATACTCTGAAAGACACTTTTGAGTTCTCTCATAAAAAAGCATGGCCAGGTGGTTAA